TCTTCATTCGCTGTCGCAATAAAAAAAACACGCGAAACAAATTTCAGTGCCTTGCATGTTTCATTCTTCGTGGCATCTTTATTCCTTTAATTATCCTTTAATTATATTTTCACGCGCAAAATAATATTTATTTGCTTATTCATATTTTTCATGAATTGTTCTATAATTTATTTATCGAATTATACTTTATCTAATTTATACTTTTATCTAAATTAATATAAATTGATCAGTAAAGTTAACTGGTTATACTTTTGAGATTGAATTTCTAAATGCGGCGAGCATAATTGTTCGAAAATGGATTGATTGCATGAGTAACGATTATATAACGCTACTTTCTGAAATTTTTTCGCGAATGGATACTGATTCAACACAGGCAGCTACGGACACGCGGTGTATGAGGTGAAACGACCGGCCTTATAACCAATGGGAGCTAAATAATGATAAAATGCGGAAGGCTAGCTAGTAAAAATGCAACAGCTCGTCTAACAACTACGAGAACTAACACCATTGGTTATATTTATATGTATGTACGTGTCATTGGCACATACGCGGTGTCGGAAAAGCGCGCGTACCGAGCACCTTGAAGTACTGATCGCATTTTGCGACGAAAATATCCGTTTTATCCTCCAATTAATATTGACAATGATAGCATTGTAAATTAACTTTTCTGTAGGTATTCATTAATTATTGACTCTTTTGTTAAATTACATCTATAAATATATTTATAGATATATATTATGTAAATTTCGAGTAAATTTCGAGAGACTCGGAGGAGACTCTCGGTTCGCGCTCTTTTCCCACCTTGTGGTTTCAAAGTATCTCTTTTTCCAAAATGCTGCACTTCATTAGGGATGCCACATTCCATTTACATTGACGAAGCTTTCGAGAAAAGGTCTCTCTCACAGAATCACACACGATCACTCACTCGCTTGTTTTATCACTAATGGCACGTTGCTTTTGCAGCATGCAGGTTCTTTTTTTCTCTTTTTTTTTTTAAATTCCATTGATAACGAAAAGCGTTAGTATTGAATCAACTATCAAATCGAACGCGTGAAATCGTCGTTTCACGTGCATTCTACAAAAGCAATGTGACGAATGAAAAATTTATGCCGAAGTTCGTGACAGGATCTTTTCGCTTTAAAAATCATTATTTAATCTCCAAATTGTACGCGAATTGTACATGCGTAAATAAAAAAATAATCATCAATCCTTCTCGATTAAAATATTGGCTCTCTGATAAGTTTTTCTCGTTATATGTTTTTATATTGTAAATATTACACATTTTTCGCTAATTAAAAAAAATTTTTTACTGATACAATAGATAAGCACGATAGCTAGTTACAATATTTCAGAAAAAGATTTTACAGATTTTGTTAAAACATTCGTTTATTACGTGACAACAATACAGGCGTGTTTCTAAGACCTTAAGTCTTAGATTAATAATTATTCGCTCGTCCGTTAATAGCGTGCTGTTGAAGTATCAGATCCTGTCACGCCTTCGGAATCGCTTAAGCGCTAAAAGCGATGGCGACACTTATGCCGTTCGAAGTAAATTCTACGTGTGCTTTACCGCGTGCCAGCACGACGTCGACCTCGCGAGAGATATTTGCATTGCAAAGGGCAAGACGATAGTGCCATTGTCGACTTGATACTGATAGCAGGATTTCTAACGTGACATGTACGCGTACGTAACATGCGAAATTGTTCGCTCGCGGAATGGTTCGCTTGATGCAGCTATAGTATAGGTATATACGGTAATTACAAGGCGCACGTCACACATCGTCAATATCGTCGCGAGATTATGGGCTGTGAGATTGTCGCTATTCTTTTTACTTATCAAGTGCAGTTTGACGTGTATGCGTTAATCTGTTTAAGATCTCGCGTAGTTCACATAAGTATCTTATTCCTATGCAAATGTCAGATTATGCGTGGCGAGACGGAGGTAAAAAAAAAGAACGACAAAAACGAGACCGGATTATACCTCACATGGACTACATTATTACGGCTGGCAGCCAGTCACGTGAGCACCGGGAATGAGTAACAAATTGACCGTAATACGGCAACGAAATATTAGCTGTATCGGGCTCGAGTGCCTGACCGTGTTCTCTTATCACAGAATTTTCTTTCTTTTTCATGCGCACTCGATTAAGCCGCTTTCACGCGACCGATCCGCGCCGATTAAGCCGCAGTACGAGTGGGCGAGAAATAAAAGTGCGCGTCGCGCCCGATTTCGCGGCTATAGTGCCTCGCCGAACGTGTTAGGCGCCGCAAACTGCAAGTCGCGCGAGAGTTTAATTAGCTCTGTCGTCGTCGACGCGTTCCGCCCTCCGGAAACTGGAAGTAGCCCATTTCGCGTTCTATATCACGGTCCCGTGATTGGTCGTTACAAGTACGGATGCGAAGCGACATCGACTTCCTGTCTGTACAACCCGTCACGACCCAGACGGACCGGATTCAACCATAATCGTCTAATCGACGGCAAACACGTGCAATTGCGAGTTCTTACGCTCTCGACGTCACTCTAATATTAACATATCGATAAAACAACTTTAAAACCGTGGATTTAAATCATAAATTTGACGTTAGATAATAGATTCGCTAATCTCAAATATCGAATTCAAAATATTATTTCTATTTCCATCAAACGTTAAGCTTTTGTCTATACGCATTAATTGATTACAGAGCACTGTAATTGGCAACAATATATGATAATGAGAAAATCGATGTCGCAGATCTTAAAATAGTAACAATGCCAGCAAGAATTCATTCGGGAAGTCAATTGCAGAGTAGAACGCAAGAGAAAAAGCATAATACGTCCGTTAAGAAGTATAATACCAGTTTGCGTGACTTTGGTCCTTTCATTGCAAAGCAAGTGACATCGATGACGAAAGCATTATCGATAAAATGTAATATGAGGTTAAAGATATTCTGAGAATTCGTGAGATCGAAACGATCGAACACAACGAAACTTGTTTCTCGCAATACTCTTATACACGAGTTACATGAGAGTTGCTTCAACTTTGTACTTTAACTAGCCGGAAGTATCGTAGCAAATGTTTGCTTTGAAAGCATTATTTGTAGATCGCCTCATTCCATGCAATTCTCATAAGTGAAATAACTTTTGATGAATGTATCCGTTATTTTTTAAGTTAATTTAAGAATTATGATTTAATAGAAAAAAAATTAACATTTGCGAATTGGAGATATCAGTCTTGCGACTGTTCGAAAAGAGGATTATTTCTTCAATTTTATTACAGAAATATTACAGAATATTTATGGACATTTTTTTTCCCCAAGATGTTAAGAGTTAACTGAAGAAGATTAGGGGCCGTCAAAAAGAAATTTGAGTACGTCCTATTTCGAGCACGAAAGAAGATCTCAGTCTTTTACAACAGACGTAAAAAACTGAAAGTGTTTATCCAGATTCATAACGCCGATAAAAGATGATTAACGATCGGAGAACAATTTTTCAGGGAATAGTTCTTAACGTGTCGAGATGCTTAAAAAATTTGACGAGGGATAACAACATCCATAAAAATCAAGATATTCCGAGTTGGATACATTAGCAAGGCTCGAGACGCGACCTCGTGCATCTAATCAACGGTAGGTCGCCATACGTGACGTCGACAGACGTCGTTGGGATACTGGGTTACCGGTGCGACTTGATGAAGTGCACTTGAGTGTACTGGACGCGAGAATTGAATATGCACTCCGTCCAGTTCGCCGGATGCCGGCTGTCGACACGATGTATTACTGCGGATCTTATCCCGACCTCCGTTGTCATCCACATTGAAAGCAATTTGCATTATAAACCCGTATGTAACGCGATTGTTACCTTTTTCTTAAAAATTCCTTGTTTTCCCGATGTCATTTGTATAAACGGTCGGTAATCGCGGCCACAATCTCGCACGACGCTTTCTGACTTCAGTCGCGAATCAATAGTTGCCTCTCGCGACTTCTCGAAAGGAAATAAGCATAGAAGATTTGGCTAATAATGAAAATAATTGTAAATTATCTCGAAAAATTCTCTATATTTCTACCAATGTAGATTAACTTTCTTGGTTTAACTTACTTTCTATCTTTTTTTAATTTTAAGAATTAGAAAAAAATACAGAGTAAATTAAACCGAGATTAAAGTTAATCCATATTGATAGAAATGGATATAGAAGCCTAAATCACAATCAAGAATTACGTAATACCGACGAAAAAGATGGAAAATCGATAACTGACAATGGCACTTCGTACTTGGCGAATGTTTTTATCAAGATCAGCGCGAGCTTGTAACGGAATGTCGCCATCGCGCTGCAAAGAAACGTGTACACGCGGTACGGTTGCAGCAGCACGTTCTCGTATTCTCATCAAGGAATATCGCTGTTTTTCCGGCATGTAATATTAGTTCTTCAGCCTCCACTCCTCTCCTCGTATCGAGGATACGTGTATATACGATGGACCGCTGTTCGTGCTGCTGCATCCGTTAACAAGATCATTACGATCCCCGCGACATCCTCGCATCCGGAACGTTTCGTCGGCGTTCTGCGGAAAACTTTTCCAATAAATGAACGAGAGAAACTGTCACGTGTACGCGATAGAAAAACCGAGTCACGTGCACGGTGCTAGCTTTCGTGGTTGCCGCCGATGGCAACCACACTACACACCCGAGAAAGAACATGAATGACAAAATAACATCGAACGCATAATAAACATTCTGAAAATAATTGTTGCGAAAGCACGTAATGCAAAGATATCTCAATTTATTTTTCAAATTATCAATAACATGGAAGATAAATATTTCAAATTAAAAAAAACAAATATTTTATTGAACTGTTTACGCGGGTACGTATGGATCAATTAACATGTAAATTTAGAAGAAAACATAAGAAATATTATATTCGTTCTGGATGCGAGAATTTCGTTGGATATGATTTTAGCTTAAAGCTAGCAGTATTATCATGGGTGGGTTGACAGGGGTGGCTCGCAGCCTAAGGGCGACGTGAGCTTACCTTGCTTCCCCTTTCGTTAAATATAATTTCCACGTCAAGGATTGGCCCAAATTGCTGAAAGGAGAAATATTTACCAAATTCAGAATATTAAAGTATGCGTGTAATATTAATGGCGGAATATAAAATATAAAAAATATATAAAAATAATATATAATAATACATAATTTAATATTAAATATATATACAAAATATTAATATTACTGATATAAATTATATATGATAAATTTTGTATAAAAAAAAAAGGAAATTTGATAAAAAAATTTTCCACATTAATAGAATTAAATCGTGCCGATTATTACCGGTATATATCAAACAAAAAAATATTTATTTCTCTAGAAGCTTTCTTATTTTCTTTTATTTTTTTGTACTTCGTTAAAAATATTTTTATTTTTTATTAGAAGAAGCAAGAAAATAACAGAATAATAACGTGTGTATACATATTATTCCTTTTATCTACGTCGCAATCGAAAGGGCGAGAGGCGAGCAATCTCCCATCAACAAAAGTAAATATAAAGACATCGAATAACAAAAGCTTGAACAAGTAGGATGGAAAAAATTGTATTACTTACCCCGAACATTGCCCTGAGGTCAGGGTCTCGGAAACGAAAAGGTATGTTGCTGACGTGCAAGCGTTTTGGTTGACCTTTAAGGTCGGTGCCTTGTGTTGCTGTCGCGGGTGTCGTCGCGCCTGACGTGACGGGTACCAACGCAGTAGCCTCCACTCCGCCTTCGGGGTTGGTCTCACTGCCACCGCCTGGTGTTGGTGCTGGTTGTTGGCCACCGCCACTCGCGGCTGCAGCTGCCGCTGCTACTACTGCAGCTTGGAACACCTCCGACTGTTGTCGGAAAAAAACAAAACTTGAGACTCTATTTCGTTGATAGTGCGAAGAAAGGAAATCACAAAATCCGGCTTGTTGACTAAAGGGATAGCAAGAAGTAGCATTTCGATTTATATCTTATAGACTAGAATTTATTACTTCAGCTTACATTGCCAAGAAGGGACTTGATTGACAAAAATAAACTTAATACACATATCCTAACATTCATACCTTTAAGCCTAATTCTTCCATACACACCTTACAATAATTATTACTGTATTATCCCCCCCCCCCCCAAACTACTTTTATCACAAGACAGACTAGAACCAATACAAAATATATCTCTCTTAGATTATCACTCTCTTAAATTCCCCATACTTATATATTACATATAACTGCTTCTTTTAAATCCTTTACTTTAGTGTTTATTCCCTTAATCACCTGTTAATATCTTATTCTTACTTATTCACACATAATATATGTCTTTCTCCTATTATTACAAACTATATCTAAGCCTTCTCCTCCTGATTTAAATCTTATATATGTTTTATACTTATGTGTACGAAAATTGTCGTCAGAAATCAGGAAATTTTGGTAACAAAGATAGACTTACAAGAAAAGTGAAAAAGATCGAAATCAGTGTTTAGAATATTTACTGCAAAGTAGATAGGAAATAGATGGAAAATAACTGATGCGCGACGACAAGAGAATCAATAAAAAGAAGAAGCAAAGCACCGCTGAGACTAATAAATGGCGCAAACAACTCGGCGATGCAGCTACAAACTTTACTTTGCGATATTTTGGCGTGCGTGTAAAGTTACTGTAATGTATGCCGACATAATGTGCACAGCAACATGGTAGACGACGCAAAGCGAAGTAATGACTGCGCTCGCGGGATGATGAAACATTGCTTCATTTACGATAAACAACTGTGTAATTAGCGATGCGGAAAAATTTATTCGAGATATATTTTAGAAAATATTAACGGCATTAATTGTGCATGTGGTACTGCTATTAATAATAACGACGAAGCAGTAATTAGTACCAACGTATTAAACGAGAACCATTTATGTCGTTCCGTGACTTGAAATTAAATTCGAAGTGATAAAATATATTGTTATTATATCAAATATATAATTCCATGTGCGTCGTATGTATAATATAATGTCTATCGTATGCATCTATGGAAAGAAATTCTATACTATCTTCTTACTTGATGCAATGAATGCATAATGCATAACGTTACCATTGCATGGTACTATGATTGATTATATTGATGAAATGGTAAATCACCGCTAACTGTATCGTGTTAATAGTTCTCCTTCGGCGATACAATAATAAATTATACAATAATAAATTATACAATAATACTGATATTTCTCATAAAAACTATTAATCTTCTGTAAAATGGAAACTATATTTTCGTCGTTTTATATAAAACTAGAAGCTTTGCCGCATGATAAAACAATGTGTAAATCGTATCTTGATAATACTTTGGTGTCACGTTTCTCGCGCGCGCATTCCGTGTAATTTTGAGGTGTCTAAGATATAGAATTATTACTAAAAAGTACATCCAATCTCGAATAGATCGTAAACAATGATTTATAGTGTACGTGAACGCGGCTATGGAACAACATAAGCCAGGAATATGATCGTTCGTATTAAGTTGGGAACACGGCGGAAGCTGTAAGTGGTAATATCTGAAAGTGGTCAGCCAAATGGCCGACCTTATCATGCCTGCACTACTAACGGCGGGCAAGTGAATGCGCACAGTGCACGGTCAGACACAGCTGTTACTTCGGGTAACTTGCGAAATATTGAGAATATAAAGCCACTATTTTACCAGTAATCCATTTGCTTTTAGTACATAAATTTTCACAGTTCTAAAAGCAACAGAAATAAACAATTTTTTTTAATAAACCATGCATTTAAATAAAATACACAAATTAATTTCTATATACACTTGTTTATTTCTATATACACTTCTATATACTACTAAATTTACACGTACTGCAATTATACATATAAATTTTATTATTAGCTAAGAAATTTTAGGTTTTGATTTATCTAATTTAAAAAAAAAAATTTTTTCTCGTCAAAAAATTTATGTATAGGTAATATATAATAATATTTCATTAAATATACTTTTCTACAATTTTCTGCCTTTTTTTCTCTCCCCTTGTTAATTATTGTGTGCAATATCTATTGTAGGTCGAGTGTTATTATTCATTATAACATATTGTCAATGCATCATCGCCGGATTACAAGTTGCGATGAGAACGCGTCAATATACTGCCGGACGCACTTTTATGACGTTGGTGAAAGCTTGTTTCGTGGGAGATTGAAACTTTTTTTCCAGCCCCAATCTACGCGTGCAAAAGAGGCGAACGCGGCTTTTCTGACGCGGCAGCGAGCGAAAATTTAACAGAGTGGAAAGCAGAACGAGCTACCAACCCTCGTACGACATAAACCGTCCACGAATATATATACCCCAGTCCATTCTTTTAACGTATGCCACTGGTGATTATTTGGGAGAAATTTCGACAATTTCTTTCTTCATTTATCCGTTTTATTCTCTGTTGAACACTTTCATCACCTTTTTATTTCGTGACGCCTTTCTGTCCATTTAACACAAGATGTAGCGCGCTAACTGTGCTGGTAATGTTCCAAAGCTTTTTAAAACAATTATAGAATATTATTATTTGAATATATGATTGTCTGAATATTAACGTATAATATAATTTCTACATGCAGCCACATTAATGTAGTGATATTTTGATACAAAGTTAAGTACAACTAAAATTTATTACTGTTGTGATACTATAATTTCATAAAGAAAATTATTTTAACTCAAAGCGCAAACAAGTTAATTATATTCACAATCCTAAATATTATATTTATATATATATTTTTTTTCATTTATTATCTATTTATCTTAAAATTCTAATTCTTATATATTCTTGATTTATTATTTCGTTCATTAAATGAAAACTTTAGCAATAATGGATGGAAATTTGTCAAACAAGCATATAATCATATACAATCATCGAAAAAAATTAACTCCAATGCTTTCTCCTAACAAGATATTTCGCGTGACATGTCAAAGGAAGTACGAGTACTTTTCTGCTTTCGTTTCGCAATTGGCGAGTTAACCGCTCCAATTTAACGAAATTATTCCGATTTGACGAACGACGCTCATAGCACGAAATAATCGAAATCGCGTTGACGGTACTTCTTCTCTCGACTTTGCGGATATTGGTGTCAGATATTCGAGAGAGCATTATTCTTCCCAAGACTTCGACGTATTCGAGCATTAGCGAAAAGCACGATGATTGCATTACCGTGAAGGTATTTTTCCGTTAATTTCACGCTTCCTTTTCAAACCATGAGAGACTTTTATATTTCATACAAGACTTCAAATCAGCAAGATTTAAAATGTAAATAAAAATGAGAGATTTATAAAATAATAAAAAGTAAAAGAGATTTTCTCTCACATCTCATTTGCATTGCTTATATCTCGTAATCTACTTATTACACTCCGTTATACTAATTATTTTTGAAAGTAATATTGTTTGATTATTGTACTTACAAGAATTTAATCGGAACAAAAGACTGAAATTATTACAAATACAAAGAAAACTGAAATTGCAAAGAATTGTTATTTTAAGTAACAACGACGCCTGTGTTATGCCATATTTATCTAAATATTAACAGAATACGAAAAGTGCTTTTAATAAATAAATTTATTTTTACTTATTATCTATAACTATTTGCACGTTCTCGAGTTTAATTTACATTCGACTACTAAAATCTTCCTAAATTAGGCAAATCTCACAATGGAACTAGCAAATTGAATTTTTAAAGCGCCGTAGCTCATCGAGCAGTCTCCCGAATCATCCTCGTTAGCTATGCTTCTATTCGTCCCGGGAATCGGCATCCAAACGAACTACTTAATATTCCGACAGCGTGCAACGTCCACGGCGGAGATGCGCGAAGTACACTCGGATACCAATTGACGCGGAACATTTATTCCCGCAACTTTCGGTACAGCATCGCTCGCTTGCTTCAAGCCAATGGCTGACAAGTTTATCACAACGGCGAAACTGTTGAACAATACGTTCGAACGATACGTGCTTTACACGAAATTCGTATTGGCAAAAGTATAATATTTTGTGTTGGTACAACTTCCTTTGGTTTAATGTAATTTCGGCTTGTCGATAGAGACAAAAGATTTATTTATCGACACAAAAATACAAACATAAAGTGTAATGAAATATTATTCAAATATGATATAAATGAAATAAAAGAATAGAAGAAAACGATTGTCAGTATAATTGCTGCACAATAACAACATTCATAATTTATTAGCTCTTTCAAAATAAAACTTTAAAAAGGTACCCTCTTCGCGTTTCAGTCAGATTCGTTTTGTAATTTATCTTTCACGAATGAGTAACTTGATGAAGTATTATTTCCAAAATCGTGAAAAATAAACAAAGTTTATGTATATAATTATAATGATTACGTTCAGAAAATATAACAGTTGAGTAAGCGCTCAATAATTATTGCCTGTGATTGAAATAGACCTATGATATAGATTTATGATAAATTTAAAAAAATATACCAATAGCAACGAGCTTTCCGTTGTATTTTCTTAACATAGCCAATATATACGTTGTCCCATTATACGTTCTATATTTACTAATCGATAATGTCAATCCTTTTTACTTTGAGATATTGTATCAACAATTAGGGTAACTCTAGTATTTCCTATGCGGGGATTTACGTCGCAAAATGTCAGAAAAAAACAGAAGAAATGAGGATAATTGGCACGCAATCACTCTATTATATGCCTTTGTGTTATATTCATATTGTGTTATAATATCAGTTTTTTTATTATTAATGTTAATAAAACCACTGTCATTTGAATCAATTTGTCAAAGTAAAGAGCGCAATCATATATCATAATTCACATAAAATGTGATTACTGTAGGGAATACAAAAGGCTTAATGGTTATTTG